AAATGTATTATAGAATGAATGCTGGACTTTTTATTTATTTATCCTAATTGAAGTGTATTATAGAATGAATGCTTGACTTTTTTATTTATCTTAATTGAAATGTATTATAGAATGAATGCTGGACTTTTTATTTATTTATCCTAATTGAAGTGTATTATAGAATGAATGCTTGACTTTTTTATTTATCTTAATTGAAATGTATTATAGAATGAATGCTGGACTTTTTTTCTATTTATCCTAATTGAAGTGTATTATAGAATGAATGCTTGACTTTTTTATTTATCTTAATTGAAACGTATTATAGAATGAATGCTGGACTTTTTTTCTATTTATCCTAATTAAAGTGTATTATAGAATGAATACAGGGCTTTTTTCTATTTATCTTAATTAAACTTTATTATAGAATGAACGCAGGACTTTTTTTTTCTATTTATCCTAACTGAAATGTATTATAGAATGAACGCAGGACTTTTTTTTCTATTTATCCTAACTGAAATGTATTATAGAATGAACGCAGGACTTTTTTTTCTATTTATCCTAACTGAAATGTATTATAGAATGAACGCAGGACTTTTTTTTCTATTTATCCTAATTAAAGTGTATTATAGAATGAACGCAGGACTTTTTTTCTATTTATCCTAATTGAAGTGTATTATAGAATGAATACAGGACTTTTTTCTATTTATCCTAATTGAAATGTATTATAGAATGAAAGCGGGACTTTTTTTCTATTTATCTTAATTGAAATGTATTATAAGAAGACCGCGGGACTTTGTTTTTATTAAATATTAAAATATCGGGGGAATGCCGGACTTTGTTCTATTTCATTTCACTAAAATGTATTATTGTGAGATTGCGTGACGTTTTTCTACTTCCTCTTAGCTTAACAGAAATATTATATTGAAAACACTGTTTTTATTATATTACAGAAGAACTGCAATGATACTTAGAACAACGTAACGACATCGAAATCTATCATTGTTTGCAAACCTATATTCGTAATTGTGTTGCATTTAACAGATTCTGCATGGCCAGGTGGTTAGGGAGCTCGACTCGCACGCTGCGGGTCGCGAGATCGAATCCCCGTTACACCAAACATTCTCGCCCTTTCAGCCGTGGGGGCGTTATAATGTGACGGTCAATCCCACTATTCGTTGGTAAAAGAGTAGCCCAAGAGTTGGCGGTGGGTGGTGCTGACTAGCTGCCTTCCCTCTAGTCTTACACTACTAAATTAGGGACGGCTAGCGCAGATAGCCCTCGTGTAGGTTTGCGCGAAATTCAAAACAAACAAACAAGTATTTAACAGTGATTTGCGTCTTTTGCGTTTTACCTTGTTTCATATAATGTATTTGAGGGCTAGGCGTGTATAACGTTTAGTATGTGGGAATGTGAATCCATAGGTCTATGGTTCGCGTCTCAGTGTCGCTACATTGTTCTCCATACCCTGGGGCCCTATGTGTTATAAGAGACAAGTTCCAATCTCACTGTTCAATTAGTGTAGCCCAAAAATTGGCAGTGAGAGCTTTTGATTACCTGCCTTGCCACTAGTCTATTGGTTCAAAATTAGAGACGACTAGCACAGATATCCCTCGTTCATCTTTGCGCGAACATCCAAAACAACCAACCAAACAAATAATTCGAGATTTGATTCGTTGCCAAATTAATATGTATAATCTTCCTCTCGAAGACGCCTTTAGTCTTTGGTTGAAGTAAAAGTAAAATAAGATTTATTCTTGCTGTGTCGTGATAAGCATATATATATAAACATATTTAAATACAATGTCGGATTTTTATTACCTTTCGCTTTGCTGTTACTTACCTGTAACCCCATAGCCGTAAAACCTACGTACCTTTCTCATTGAATTTAGCGCCACAGAAAATTCGAAAGTTCATGATGCTCATAAATTAAATTATTTTGTTTCAAATTTGGCAAACAAGTTATTTCGACCGGTTATAAACACGGCACATATGAGGATTGCAGCTCGTATGATATATGATTAAGCTGATGCTCATAGATGTTTTTTTTTATTATTTTATGAGAAACTCGTGGAATGGAGAAGTTCAATTGTCTATTGTCGAGCAGCTTTCAGAACTAAGTTCATTATTAGGTACACACAATGCTTTAGAGGGGGACGTTTATGGCAGTGAAAAAGTATTGTTAGTTGAATAATGCAGTGTTAAATCTTTCACTGCCGTAATAAGCAATTGTCAATACTAGTTACATTCTAAGATACACACAGTGCTCTAGAGTGGCAGTGAAATAGTATTGTTAGTTCAATAATGCAGTGTTAAATCTTTCACTGCCGTAATAAGCAATTGTCAATACTAGTTACATTCTAAGATACACACAGTGCTCTAGAGTGGCAGTGAAAAAGTATTGTTAGTTCAATAATGCAGTGTTAAATCTTTCACTGCCGTAATAAGCAATTGTCAGTACTAGTTACATTCTAAGATACACACAGTGCTCTAGAGGGGGACATGTATAGCAGTGAAATAATTAAAATGGAAAATATAAGCCATGTTGTGATTAAAAAGAGAAGAATATTATAACAATTTTGAATCGACCGAAGTTCAGGTTCGGGTACGTATTTTGAAAAGTGATTATTTTTATATTTCTGAACAAAAACTGCATGTTATTAGTCTGACGTACTGAACAAGTTTATCTCCACGAAGCCATAAGGAAGGTAGAACTTGCAATATTCAATATGCACAAATACGTTGATTTGGAGGTTTCTTTCTGATAGAAAAACTTATCTTCTCACATCAAAGCATGTGAGGGAAAACCAGAGAAGACTAAAGTTTTCATGTCAGTGTACGATTGAGCTAACACTAGAAAAACTTTTGTATCATATTCGATTCTAATATTTTTTCTATCAAAATATAATTTAAATTCACCTGTAATGTATATAAAACCGTTTTAGAAAATTCGTAATTATATAATTAGGTATAAAATATGGGTATATTGGTACAAAATTACGTCAAAAAACGAAGATTCATTATTTGTTCTATATCTTACAAGAACATAGGATATTCTAACGCAGCAAATAAGTCTGTTTTATGTACTATATTTTACCTATATCATTTTCTAAGTATGCTAAATGTTAAGTCGCCGCGACTCAAATTTATTAAAGCTGACTTATATGGAACCATGATAGCTTTATTTCTATTTGACGCAATATGAAACAACTATAGAATAGGTTTAATTCTTAAACATGGGAGATAGAGCAACATAAGCTTTGAATGAAAGTCATTCGAGTATTGCAAGTTCACTGAATACAAGTTTATAATTTCATTTTTGGATTTTTTTTTTATGTTCAGATTCATTCCTGGATATGCATATATATTTTTATTAAAAATATTTAACCCCTCAAATGTAACACTAGTTTAATTTGTCACCAAAAGTGGTTTCATAGAATGCATACCTCTATACTGTGTTTATTGTTTTGGGGATATATAGGCGTGTCTCAACCCAGAACTGGAT